AAAACGCCTCCTTTCCCTGCGGCTGGAGATTTTGCGAAAAGTTGCAAAATTCTTTTAAAAAAAGGACTAAGTCGCGTCTCTTGCTATCTAATGTCGCTTCGTCCGTTAACTGACGAAAAAGTTCAGTAAGAAATTTCTCATCGTCCTGTATCAAAGTCACTATTTCAACTTTATTGAAGAATATAAAACTACTCAATGTACTCAGCATGTTGTCCTCGAATACACTCGGGGTTGGCAGCACTACGTCTTGAATGTATTGAACTCTGTATGTTTGGTGGATTTTAGCTAACAGTTCGGTATTTGTAATAGGAATTGCTTGTTTAAATCTGGCTAACTGTCGTAGATACTCTCTATGCCTCTTTGGCTGAGATAACGTCGGCTCGTACTCCAGACAGCCGACAACATCGAAAATCGTATCGTCGCTGAACATAACTTCGAATAATGCATTTTTATTGAGTAAGAAAATATTTTTGAATATATCGTAAAGATGGTGTAATCCCTCGATATTCTCTAAATCCTCGCATGTACGAAAAAGATTTAGCAATTTCTTAATGTAGCCCTCGGACTCTAGTGCCACTGCTAATTTCTCTTTTCTCATTGGGGACGTTAAACAATTCTCTATGAGCTCGTTAATGTCTTCCAAACGACTAAGCTCACACGGAGGTAATTCGATAGGCGGTGCCGCATCTGACATATCATCGAACCGCTCATCTTCGGATTCTTCCACTATGTCTTGTGTTATTTCTACAGATGGATCCTTGCCCTGAACCTGACAGATTTTCTCCCATATTTCGTCACAGCCAGCCTTTTCTTGAAAACTTAGGGCTAAATCGAAATTATCCCCTTCTGACCATACTATCAAGGTATCCTAAAATCATATTTATACATATTTATTCGTACATATCCCATGTACGCATCATGCCACATAAATTATAATTAATTTTATATATTATGTATAATTATATTCGTATTATACATTAATATATAGAATCAATATTTTAAAAGAAAATATTGATTTTTCAATAATACAAAAATGCTAAATATTTTATAAAAATTTAAATTTTAAACGAACAAATTAAATACACTCATCTATTCGCTCAGTTTTTATAAATATTACAACTAAATTAGAAAACTTTGTACAAGATAACCAAGTAACAGTAGTATCTAACGTAATATCTAACTAGTAATACTGATAAACTGCTCAAAAAAAAGATGCTTGCTAAAGAGAGTCATAAGGAAAGTAAATTCATGAAATTTCTGATTACCTGTTGTTTCTGATATGCCGTGTCCGGTTGTATTTTACTCTCCAGCAGGAGAGAGCCATCGCTCTCCGCTCTTACCAAAAGGGAAATTCCCTTCAATCTCTCGACATAGGAAGAGGAAACGTGACCTGTACCACGATCATCCCATTGCCTGTCTGCATTAAGTGCATACAGTTTTACTCTTCTACGTGTATCCGTCATATTGTAAAATTAATTAGCGAACTCTCCGTTATCACCAACTATTCCGCATGCCTTTCCAGGATTCACGCAATCTTTGGCTATCTCTCGGCAGTTATTTCAATGGGAGAACTCTCAGATACCTGTTGGAGCAACAAATGGACAAAAACCAAGATATGTTAGACTTCCGCATGCCCTTGTACAGCCCATCGAGGTTTAACGTAATTGCGTCATACACGTATAGTACAGTATAAACAAAACGTTTCGGTAATGTGTCAGTCTCTCTCTGCCGAAAGGCGCTGCGCGAAAGGCCGCGTCCGCGGCTCTCAGGCGGAACCCCCGTGCGGTTGAATAATATGTGCACAAGCTTACACACCAGTCGACTCCGGCTCCGTTCGGCCGACGATCATATGCATGCTCCGAGAAACTGTGAACTCGACGAATAGCACGAGCAACGGATGCACATCATGGGTGAACGTGTTGCGTTTCCTCCAGGCTCCTTTCCCCGACGGCGTCGGCCGTCAGTCACGGTGTCCACGAGTGTTCGCGCGTCCTGCGCGCCGTTCGTCGGACGGACCGTACGAACGATCCCCTTCGCGGGTGAGCTCTCTACCCTGGAGAAGACTCCTGAGAGGCACGGAGTACACGCGGGATAGGATCGCGTGCTCGCGACTCTCACGTGTGCTGCGATGTCTGCGTAGATACGCGACAGTCAGACTCGTCGATTTCGACCGGCACGACGACGGCACGGCTGGCTCCAGCCTGGACACCGATCACTCTTGGTCAAGGGAACGTTGGCGCCTATGGCACTCTCCGCTCCGCTGTGTACAGTTCTTCCCGCGACGACGACGACGACGGCGGCGACGGCGACGGCGGCGACGGCGGCGGCGGCGG